ATATCACCACGAATATCCTTATAAAAATCATCAGTTTTATATATATGTATATGTAAAGTATGTATATGTAATGTAAAGTATTTAAGTCAATATAAGTCTTTAGCCAAGGTTTTTGTAAAAAGCGAACCGCTCTATGAATCTTTCTTAATATTAACCCATTTTGTATGCATTGCTGCAAATTTCTATAATGGATTACATAATTTTTTTCTGTTCCCGAGGTCAGCTATTATTTTTTAACTTTATCCTCTTTAAATGCAAAACTATTTGACAAACAAAACGGAAGAAATACATTATAAAAGATGATTACTTTGTTGGATCAAAATCTGTTAAGTATTTGTCATTTGCCTTTGTATATCTATGTGGGATATGGGTATATTAAGGTATTAAGCAACCTATTTAATTTCATATGGGGACGGAATTCCACAACCTCGTAGCTTTTTTCCATCAGCCAGAACGCCATGTAGAACTGTCTCTTTTCATCAAAGAATGTCTATACCCACCACCAGTACACATTCAAAGTCAGCGTACACGACGAACTGAACTCCAAGCTGCAAAAATTTCGGTAATTGGGGGTCTCAATATAGACCCTCCCTAAAAAAAAAGTGTGTTTGGTGTCATTGGAAAACATTTTTCAAGCCCTTTTGCCCTTATGCTTTATACGATTGTAAGTTAAAAACTGCAACTTTTCATTAAAACGCTTAAAAATAAATTTCCACACCTCCGCGCACAAGCAGATATCAGCACACACTTGAGGGTTGGGGTGAGTTCGCAGCTCCACACACAAGCAGACCCGAGCGCACACTTTAGGGCAGGGGTGAGTTCCCAGGCGGACTCGCCCAAGAGATAGCAAAGGGTCATGTCTTTCAAAAAAACAATGGAGGGAGGATCTTATAGAATACCAGACTCAGGCGCACACATACATACCGAGTATCCGTGCATATAAGTATTTAAAATTTTAAAATCAATTCAGTTAAACGTAAAACTGATGTATTATTATCAGCCTATGTCATATGCTCTAGCTACTAGAATTATCTTAGAAACATGTTCTCAGAAAACAATTACTGCAACGTTACTTGTATCCCTTCTCTCCTTACTTACTGAAATCTAAAAAATCTGAAATTTGAATAAACTACTTGAAACATTGACTCATACTTGAATATGCACTTGACAATTTTATTATGGTGAGTCCATGAACGTATATCGGTTCCCCATCGGCTTCTTTGAACACGTGCACGGATTTTAAAAACTATAATTTATGGGTTTATGATTTCTGTGCCAGAATCCACACTCACTAAAAGGATCTGCGGGGGTGGTGAAGGGGAATCCTAATCACAGGAGACGACTGATAATGGGTTTCGGAGTGGGGGAAACAATGTTTTAATCACTAATGTGTATCCTTTTTATCTATGTGTTGGAATGGATCTTCCTCATCGGTTCCACACGTCATGTTTCCACACACATCTGGGGTTACCACTCAACCATACACACGCACACACGTAGACAGAGGCTTACATGTATAGAAATTGACATTGATACATTTCAATATTCCCAAATAACGGATAGGGGGGTCGGAAAACTAATCATGACACAATCGTCACATTTTATTACTTCTTTGAAAACGTGCACTGATTTAAAAACTATAATTTATGGGTTTATGATTTCAGTGCCAGAATCCATACTGATGGGGAATCCTTATCACAGGAGACGACGGATAATGGGTCATAACGAAGATGCTACTATTCAAAAATCAAACATCAATTTTGGACTCAACCATCAACGTAATCAAGAGGATTAAGTCAACCACCGATACGCGCCTAAAGCAAAAGGTTGAAGGAAGTATCAGGGCGAACACTTCACACAAGCATATATGGTATTGACGGTACAGCTAACGGTATTAAGTACCAGAAATTAAAATTAAAACGGATGTTGACAACATGCTAATTGATATTCGCCACCACACAGTTAGCCCATCTTTAGCATCTCAAAACAACTAAAAGGGCAGCTTGGGAAATACGAGATCACTTATCACCAAACCAAATGCTGCCAGTATCAACAGAATATGCCTAAATCTCCTTCGATCACCAAACGGTGTATAGCGATGAAAACTGATGTGAATTTCAATTGCCTAACAACAATTCATTATCGGATTGTGAGGGCAGTAACAGATTATTATCCAATTGAGCTTCAATCAGTTAGCAACGGAACATTTTTTCAATAAAGTCAGACTCAGTCTTAGAGCATTCAACAACTGTTTCCCATTCATCATCGCAATAATTAGAGAATCAACCATTTGATAGGAGCTAAAGAGCTTTCATGATCGGATTATTTCATGATTAAATTATTTAAAAATTCTCCAGGCGTATTTAAATACTATAATGCACTTTGTGGAATTTGACCAAACTAATTTTTCGCGATTTTTCAATCTTACCATGTTAAGAAATGACCAAACGGCTATGTTAGTACCTAAAATGTTAACTTACCAATTTAGTGCTAATATAACAGCTGTTAACGTAGTGGTGTAACTTTAAATTGGCATATCCAGGACAAAAAATCATGAAATAATCTAATTCAAAATGAATATTGATTCTTCAGGTTAATACTATGTGTTTATACTAATACGTTGTTTGTTTGGTTCGTATTTTTTCTAACAATTTGTATATTTAGCAAGTGGTGTCCCCTTGTCTTTTTTGGAAAGAAAGTTGAACTTTCCAAAGATTTTAAAAAAATGTTCAAATTGTATCAGTGAGTGTTCTGTCCAGCGAGTGACTTTTTTAAGTTTGTAAACAAAAAGAAGTCCCATGGGGCCAAATCTGGAGAATATGGTGGATGGGGTAGACCAATTTGGCCTCTGCTCTGAAGTGGTCTCACGGTTGCGTTTGTGGTCCGGAGTGAGCAAACGCGGCACCCATCACGCCGACAGCTTTCTCATGCCCGAAATTTCATGCAGGATATGACCCACGCGGTATTTCGAGATGCCTACTGCCTCAGCTATTTCGCATATCTTCTATCGGTAGTCTCCCAATACGAAATCGTGGATTTTTGTCGCGTTGTCGGGGCATATGGGCGTGACTCATCAAAATCCAACGTGCGACCACGTTAAAACTCGTTAAACAAATTTTTGACGGTCAGCATCGAAGGAGAAGAGTAACCGTAAACAGCATCCAAGCGCTCTTCAACTTCGCTGCAGACCGATATTGCTTTTTCTCAATTTTTCTAAAATCCGCAGACACGTCCGATTTTACACACAATCAAAACAAAACTACGAGTCCAATTCGACTGAAATTTCGACCGTAGCCGTCTTCGAGAATGTACTATACAATAGTAAATTTCTCTTGCAATAGTGACGCCGACGAGGCTAAGTATTTATCGGACCACCCTCGTAATGCAGCACATTCTACTCGTTCTACCATATTTTTTTCAAGCATCTTCTCAACATTAATTACCGCTGAGAAAGCGCTGCTCCACTGCAAGGCACACTGCTTGTTAAAGTTTCCACGGTAATAAATGAATTTTCTTACATACTATTTACTATTACACCAAGCGCTCGAGACAGATACAGTTCGCATTTCAGGGACTGGATTTAATAAGGAAAATCAAGGAAGATATGAGATCTGAAATATGTATTTGCTTGGTCCGTAAGAGAATACATATTTTCATTGGCGTAATTAAGGCTATTTACCGAGCACCAATAAAGTGAATAGATTTAGTTATTAAAAATATTTCCATTTATATATTTAACAATAGGATACCCGTTACTGTTTTATGCATTTTAAAATATTCATTTTGCTAGCGGAATTTCACAAGGCGCCACCTATTGTCAGAGAAAGTATGTTGAGTATGTGAGGCCTTATAACTTAAATTAAATTTCATGAATTGCGAAAGTGTTCCGATTTAAAATCTTTGGCAAATCGATAGATATTAACAGAAATAAGTTATACAAGGTCAAACGAAGGCATTCATATTATAGACGCCACTGTTTTCCGCGGTAGTGGGCGTGGCTGGATGAAAACCCGTGCCCAGTTGCAGTTGCATCATACGTATTCTTAAGAACACTAGCTCTTATAAGTCCCGAGATGTTCGCATTTTTGGTTTTCTGGGTTTTGTGGGCTTTAGGGTGGGCGTGGCTAGATGGGAAAAACAGTTTGCCTTTGAGGCAGCATAAAATCCGAACTTTCTATCACTCATAGTTACCGAGATATCAGCTTCTCTAGAAAATGCGAAAACCGTCTTTCGAGCTTGGTGGGCGTAAGAGTGGGTGTGGCCGCATGCTGAAATAAACTTGCGATGCGTACGGACCTCAAGAATCTTCATACTTAATCTCAACTTCCTATCTCTAATCGCTAAACTATAGAATCGTAATCGGACAGTCCGATTATGATGAAATTTTTTGTACGTGTTCAAGGGGGCTCCGGGCGGGTGTGTTTAGAAATCATAAACTAGCAAAATTCGTAAAGATTGAGAATTAGGAAAATTTAGTAAAGTTGGCAGCTCCGATCATTTATAAACGAAAATTATTTTATTTTGCCCGGGCATGGTACCTAAGCCTAAGAAGAATATGTCAAGCTTGAGCAGAGCGGGCCAAGCGGGGCGACGACCGTCTTTCTATATTATAAATAATGTATTCGTTAAGTATAAAACATATATGGAGGAAGGTTTTCCGACCATATAATGTATATATATATTTATCAGCAGAAAAATTAGATGATTTAATTAAACATTGAAATTATAAGAGATATAATAAGGGACTAGGTATGCAGTTTTTAAGGATGCCAACACAGCTCCAGTTTGTTTCAACATTCGGCCATGTCCACTGTAACGCTCATGCGTGCCTTACACAGTTAGAGCTACAGGCGGCGCAAGAAAAGTTGATAAACATATATTTTAGAATAGTTTCTTCTTATGTTTTTTTTAAAAATACTGCGCAGAATTGAATTTAATCGTTTTGTACTTCAATTGCCTTTTTACCCCCAATTCAATATATAAAATATTGTTACGCATGATCCAATTTATAAAATCCTTTATTTACAAAAAAATCTATTGAATTACAATAACATGTGATATATATAAAACAAATTACATTATTAATATTATGTTTGCAATGTATCATCCAATTCTTCCTCTTTGATACTTAACTGCGAAGTGGCACGTTTTAAAACTTTAGTTACTACTTCATTTAAAGATTCCCTAGCGCCCGGTTCTAGGAGGTTTGAAATTTTTGATAATGTAGAGTCGTCAGTTCTTAACCTTAAAATTGAAATTAGTGCTAGTTCAGAATTTGATTTTACATATCCATTCTTTTCCTTAGTTCCGTTTACTAGCATAGGGACCAAATATTTTAAAACATCAAGGTTAATTTGATCATCTGTCAAAGATTTAGACAGGTGGGTACAACTTTTAGCGACCAACTGTTTAACATCGTTATTAGAATGATTCATAGCTCTAGCTAGCGCACTTATAATATTAACAGGCAGTTCGCAGTTATTAACAATATAATGTTCCAAAAGATAAGTGGCAGCTCTTATTGCGTTGCAGGAAATAGGGGCTTTATCTGATAAAATATGAGACAAAACATAAGATTTAATCTTTTCTTCCAGATTTGAAGTAAGTACTGCTTTGGGACACTCCTTTAAGGCTACAAATAAAACTATTGAATGCCCATGTTTTACTAAAATATCATCTATACGCTCCGTCAGTATTAAATTATTAAATAAATCATCGACTTGCCCAGGGTCTGTGTACTTTAATATCGCCCCTAAACATCCCCCAACCGCGTTTCTGGTGATATCTTCTTGATGACCGATCATACTTAATAAAGTGATATAAATTTGTTTTTTTATTGGTTCAGACATTTTATGCCCAGATCGACTTACAATACTGCGAAGGGCATGGAGCATTGTTTCTCTTACAGAAGAATCATCTGAGTTTTTAATTCCATTGTGAATTTCATTAAATAATGGATCTGCTCTAGAGTGAATTGCAACTAACTCGGATAGAGCTTTCCCAGCTTTCATTCTAACGTTTCGGTTTAGATCATGCAGTGCTTTAAGAAATGTAGTCTGAAGTTGTGGTAGGAACTGTTTCAATAGAATACCAACTTTATTTAGTAAAATTGATAATGTTTCCAATACAGCGGCTTTAACCGCTGCATTAAAACGGTCTCCCAATATTCGAATTAACGGACCTGTTATTTGTACAACAGAAGGCTGCAATGATTGTGCGTTAGTTAGGAATATAACTTCACCTAGTCCCTGTGCTGCATTTTCTTTTTCATCAGGCAATCCATTTAAAATAGCTTCGCGAAATACGGGTAACAGTGGGGTTATTCCCTTTGGCAAACAAAAACCTGGAAGCTCAGTTTCTTTAAGTTCACTTGCTGCAAATCTTACTGCTTGGCGGACATCAGACACGTGAGATATTTGCTGAGCGGCATTCAGGCCTTTAATTACTGCATTGAGAGCTTCCCAAGATTTCTGTAATATATCTTTATCGTTATCAGCCAACAGCTTAAGAAGGCATCGTAAAAGTTGAGGAATGTATTGACAGTAATTTCCTGGTGAATGAATACAAAATGCCGATAATAGGCTTGCTGAGGACTTTCGAGTGCATAGCTCAGAGGAATTTGCTGAAATAAGTAATGTATCCATTATAGTTCTTATTCCAGTTTCATCTGTTACTGACAATATAACAGTTTGACAATAATCTATTTCTTGCATTTCATTCGGAGATCCATAAGCTCCTGATAGGGCTTCCAATAAAGCAGATAGTATTTTTGGCAAATATTTCGTTAACGCTTCACCAGCGACAGATACGAGAATAGACAACGCTTTTGTATTCACTGGCGGGGAAGTTAATTGAGGCACAAGGTATGGCAATACTACCCTTGATTTAATCGACATTACCTGTCGAAGTCCATCTAAAGTATTTTCAGCAACAAAGGGATCCGGATCGGAGAGACCTTCTAGCATAAATGGTAAAATGTCATCTAATGCTCGAGAGCCTACTGTGCTATGTAAGGACTCAAATGTTTTTGCTGCTGCTACTCGAACTTCGGGCAAGGGATCGCATAACGCCTTACGTACTGTTGGGACCAGACTGTTTACAAATGAAAGTACCATTTCTTTTGACGTAGAACCCATTATTTCTGACAAGCCTATACAGACTCCTTGGCGTTGATCAGGATGATCAGAGTTTAAGCCATTTTCAAGGATAGGAATGATTTCAGGTAAAACTCTTTCTCCTAGTTTTCTTACCAGATCCCCCAAAGTACGCGCAGCTACTTGTCTTTTGTCATAACTAGTGCTTGCCAGGCATCCAAGCAATAAACCAAACAACGTTGGAAGAATCTCGCGTAGAGTCCGTGGAGTATTTGTCACAACCACTTTCCAAACATGCAAAGCAGATTGACGGACCATTAATGAAACGTCACTTCTTCCCATATAAAGACCTGACAATACCCGATTTCTACGTTCATCGCCTAAAAAGCGAATAATAGCTGTATGTGAATGTTCCGTACCAAAATTGTCATCCTCACTTGCTGTTTCTGTTGTCATTTTCCCAGATACGCCAGATATACGATATAATAAGTCTCCTAGTAATTGAACTGAACTATACCGAATCCGCCAATTATCATCAAAAAGTCCCTTTTCAAGCTCTGGAAGTAAAATTGCAACCGCAGTTTCTGCATATAAATTAACAATTCGCTGACCAGCCTTTAAAGCAGTATCACGAACATATTCGCTTTCATCTGCTAAGGCTTTCAGTATCGGATTGATTATTTGCCCAATATATGGTGTAAATTCTTCTGGAAACGCTCCAGGCATGTATATAAACATCATAATATACCCATCTTTCACATGTGGAGCTATATCTACTCGTTCTGCAGTCAGAATTATTTCAGGCATTAGTTTATGCATCTTCTCGACACCAAGTCCTGCAACTACCTCGGAGAGACCTTGCGCTGCTCCACTGCGATCCACACTGCTTGACTCCGATGTTAAAGTTTCCATTAGCCACGGTAATAAGTTTTCAAATGAACTTTCTCCCATACCTTTTACCATTGCACCAAGGGCTCGAGCCGATACAGCTCGCACTTCAGGGACTGGATCTAATAAGGATGATTTTAGGCCAGGAATAATGCTGGGCAAATACGGCGAAAGATCTTTTTGGTCAGTAAGAGAATACATATTTCCAATTATTTGCGCCGCCATTTTTCTAGTTTCTGTTGATCTATCCATAAAGGCACGTTGTACCACTGGCATTATTAAGGCTAATGACGGAGCATCAATAAAGTGAATAAATTTTGTTTTCAGTAAACTTTGCAGACAAGTTGAAGTATTGTTAGATGGATCCTCTAATGCATCTAAAAGTACGGGAACAATAGCTTGAATTTCAGGATTTTTAATAACGGATCCTATTACTTTAAGAGCCTCTGCACCTGATTCATGAACTTTAGTGTGAGAATCTCCCAAAACTTCAATTAGTTTTGGAACTATACTGGGAAGACAAGACGAAAGTTGCTTAGGTGCACAAAATGCCATAGCACCTAATAATTCTACTGATGCGGTTTTTGTTCTCCATGAATCTTCGTCAAGAGCTTCTAACAGAGACGGAAGCACTAGTTTAACGCCATGTGCCGAAAGTTTTCCCATAACTACTTTAGCAGTATCATCGGCTGCTTGTCTTACATATTGGGAGGAATCACCAAAACATTGTAACAAATGGGGCAATACATGTACTATATATGGTTCAAATAAACGACCAAGTGTAGTACAAAGAACTTCAAAAGCAAACAATGCTCCTTCTCTGGACCTATAATTTTTTTTTTCTTGAATGTAACTTGTTAGTTTTGACATAATGTCTAGTTGCTTTAATGATAAAATACCAAGGCCTTTAACTATCCCGGCAATACCATAAGCCGCTCCACGTCTCTCTCCATATTTGTCGGACTTTGCCAAAGAGTGTAACAATTTTTTTATCATTGCAGGGGCCTCATCTTTTACGGATGGCATAAGATAAGGTAAACAGTTCGATACCGCTTCCTGAACTTGTTGTGAAGGAGTAGACAGTGCTGTTAATAACCGTTTGACAATTGGATCTATTCGCTTGTCATCCTTTTCCAAATGCCGTGCTAACGAGCCCATAAGAATAACAACAGCTTGACGAATGGTGTCATAACATTGAGACTTTGGCGCTTTATCGAGAAAGTCTTCAAGCACAGGTAACAAAATTGATATAGTTTTATTTCCGTGTAAATCAACTATCTTTAAAGCGGCTGCCAACATTTCTTTGTGTACGATATCTTCTCTGTCCCCAAGTCCTTGTGACACCATAAAATTCACAACTACCTTTATATCCTCAATAGATAATAATGAAGCTATAGTGGAGAATGCAATAGCAACACCTCTTCGGGGCTTCCATTGATCGGTAGCGGGCTCAATTTCACGATCGAATTGATCCAATACGGGGGGTATTAGTGACAATTGCTCATTGTAAATAGAAAGCAATTTCTTTATTACGCACTTTATAAGTGTCTCATCGCCATTCAAAAGTGGAATCAAAGATTCTGAAGCTGATTTTTGAATGCATAGCTCAGAGTGTGTGACATTATAAATTATATCGTCATATCCAGGTAAAGGCAAGTCTGCATTATTCCAAATAAAACTGGCCAGTTCTCTATTTTCTTCCTCTGTATCATACTTTACTATCCAAAATTGGATTGCAATTAGTTTTTCAAGACTTTTATCACCTTTAATGTGATTTACAATTCCATCTAGCATTATTTTCAAGGATTGTAGGGCTACTTTTCTTACAGCGGCATTACTACAATACAAGGCTTGTAGAAATAAATATATAATCTCATTATCTGGATGAGAACAGAAAACACCACCGTTTGAAAATTTGGCAACTTCTAAGATAGCAACAGAAGATTGCGCTACCAGATTCTGGTTGCTTTTAAAAATATGTAACAAAATTTCAAACATACCAAATCTTGGCATATAATTAGGATTACAGTTATCCATTGTATGCATAGATATTATATGTATGCATTTCAAAATAAGTTCAATATTCAAGTCATTGTTTAACAATAAGAGTGCACGCTTTAGGAACTCAAACGCATATGAAAATGATGACGAGTCAAGTAAGTTCGATTTAATACAATTCTCAAGGTCGAATATAACATCATTAATGACCTTTTTTATATTTAAGGTTTCATACTCCTCTTCTAAAATGCAAGATGGGTTTTGAAGCTTAATTGTTGCTACTGCAATTTTACGTCCAAGGTTTGGGTGAAAAGTAAAGCACAAGGTATGCAGAAATATATAAAGATTTTTAAGAAGCTCTGCACATAGAGGACTTTTTGAAGCTTGCAAAATATCGTTTAACAAAGTATGAAAATGTTGAGCGATTTGTTCACCATTTCCAGAACATGCTGCCTTCAGTAAACTAATTTTACTTATTAGTTTTTCATAAAGCTGTTGGATCCGCATTTTTACTCGAAGTTCTTTTTCCATTTGATTTTTAATTTGTTCTTCTTGCTTTTGAGTATACTTTATAGTTTTTAGCTTTCCCTCTTTTTCTCTCTTTTCGTCAATTTCACGGCGAAGTTGAATCTCTTCTAACTGCTCCTTGTAGCTGTAAACTTTATTTTCCCTTTTAAGACGAACTGTTTCATATTGTGATTCTATGTGAGGTATTACACTTTTATCGTATAATTCTCCTTCTGGTGTCAAAAATGTCAAATAGTCCTCATTGGAAGCATGATAATTCGCTGAGTTACACAGATAGGTTTTTAAGTGATTTATTACTGTTGGGACAATAGGATTGGGGCAAATGCGAACCAATGCTGATATGGTATTCTCGTATTGCGTATTCGCTTTGAAATTATCAACGTATTTAATAACTATTTCATTTTTTTTATCTAATATGTAATGTTTTGCATTAAAATTGAATATATTCTCTATTGTTGTTTCCCAAAAATATGGTTCATTCAACACAATTGCCGGATGATGTGCTATGAGCAATAAATCCATAACAACCTCTTCAGATTCGTTACGATTAATAGGTTTTAAACTGGTTAAAGCCAAAAGTGCGTCTACATAAGCTTGAGTCGGTGTTCCAAACTGATCAATGGAGGACTCCCCGTCATTTTGAATGTTGACTAAATTAATTCGATCTCCAAATTCACGTAAAGCCAACTTAACAAATTCTATTTCGCTTGATGCACGTATTATTTTTTTGACCTCACCAATAGTATGAGTTCTAACTTTTAGTGAATTGCTACATAAATTATAAACTAACGTTCGAACTAAAGGTTCTAGTTCTCCTTTAATTTTGTCTGGATACGAATTAAGCAATATTCTCGTCATCAGTGATATATTGCATAATGTCTCGGTCGGAGCTACAGCAGTAAACTTTTCATTAAAAAAATATTTTTTGTTCATATCAAATAGTGTGGACCAAAAAAAACTATACTTTTCAGATGGCTCTTCTAAAATAAGCATTATACAGGCAATGCAAGCAGCTTCAGATAAATTACATAATTGGGAAGAGTTTTGCAATGCTTTAGTATAAAATAACATAAGATCTGGTATAATTCCATCATGGTTATTAATCTCGGTATTTTGTATTGATAAAAGAAGCCATTCGAGATAACTTTGACGTATTGTTTGATTAGTACTTTTCAGCTGAACGCCAGCTTTAAAAATATTAATAATCAAAATTGGCAACTCTTTTTTAAATTTTTGAGTCCATAAAGCAAACATATCCAAAGTGCAGCAAATTACTTTTTCCTGTGCCTCATTCTCCAGCGCTTTCCTAAATAAGGTAACAGCTTCTTTTAAAATTTCTTCCAAATGGTCCTCATCTATGTTGTTAAAGCTTAAATAGCCAGCACCCTGAAATAAAAAGAAAAATAAATATTATATTAGTGTATTGCTATATTATTGAGATTAAAACAAAAATAAACGATAGTGCAAATTAATAAAGCACACCTTCTGTCAAAAAAGCATGTTTTCTAATTAATTGTGACGTCTCTGTCCATGTGAGGACTTATAACCTAAATTTCTTAATAAATAATGAAATATGGTTCCGATTAGAAAATTCTTTAGAAAATCGATAGATATTGACAAAAAAAATGTTATACAAGGTCAAACGTTTTTTTTTTTTATATAACAATACATTTATTAAACGTCAATCAGCCAACTTAATGGCTATAATACGTTGAGTACTACATAGAACAAATAACATAAATACATAACAGGAAGGAAATTAACAAATTTTTATAACTAGATAACTAGAGATCAATGCTAAATGCTAATGCTAAATTACTGCTTTAGGACTCGAGAAATTTGGCGTCCTCTTGTCCAGAGATCGGCTGGATGCCTTCGCTTTAAACGTCTTCTTATAGTAGCGTGAGCCAGCGAGGAGGCTAGGTGGTTTGTGTGAGCTGTGAGACGATCGTTGTACCGACTCGAGTGCCTGTTTATCTGTTCCCTAATAGAGGGAATGTGGAGGTCATCTTCTAGAGCTTTGTTTCTGACGTACCAAGGCGCATTTACAATCATGCGTAACGCCCGGTTTTGAACCCTTTGAATTTTCATGACGTTAGAATCCGAAGCCAAGCCCAATAGTTGGATGCAGTACATCATCGAGGGCACCACAATTGATTTGTACAGTAGCACTTTGTTAGCTAGGCTTAGCTTGCTCGTTGGCTTAAGCAACCAGTAGAGTTTCCTAAGCTTGGAACGACAAGTAGCTGCTATTTTCGAAGTAAGCTGCCTCCACGTGAGGCGCTTATCTAAAATGAGGCCCAGGTACTGCGCCTGTGATGATTGCGGAATGATGTCGTCGTGAAGTTTAACCTCCGGAAGGGACTGCACTCTCCAAGCGAAACAGCAGTGTTGTGATTTCCTTCCATTAATCGCTATGTTCCACCTGTTGGTCCACTTGCCGTATGTGTCCAGAAATTCCTGGGTGATTCTTGATGCCTCGATACGGCAAGAGGAGTTGACTAGGAACGCCGTGTCATCGGCGTAGGTGGCCAGAAGTGTGTTTGGTTCATTCGGACAAGGCAGGTCAGAAGTGAACAGGGTATACAGCACGGGACCCAGGACACTCCCCTGTGGAACTCCAGCACGAGCAGATCTTATGCTTGACCTCACCCCTCTTACTTCAACCATAAAACTTCGACCAAGTAAATATGATTTAAGTAAGAGGAATTGGGCAGTCGGGAGAAGAGATTTCAGCTTATACAGCAGGCCATCATGCCACACGCGATCAAAGGCTTCCTTAACGTCGAGGAAGAAAGCAGAGCTGTATTGCTTGTTTTCAAAGGCATTCAGAATATGGTGCACAACTCGATGGACTTGCTCAGGAGTCCCATGTTGCTTCCTAAAACCAAACTGGTGGTCGGGAATGGCGTCCTGTATGGTTCTTACTCCCATAATTCTACTAAGGAATATTCTCTCGAATATTTTAGAGAACGTAGGTAGTAAGCTTATCGGCCTGTATGATCCAACAAGGTTCTCCGGTTTTCCTGGCTTTGGAATCATCGTTATCACGGCACACTTCCATTGGGACGGGAAGGTCAAACGAAGACACAGTTTGTGGGCGTTAGAGTGGGCACGTCAAGCTGCAGTGGCATCGTATTCCTACGCCTAACTTTCTACCTGTATAGTTCCCGTGATTTTGCATTTTTGTTTTTCCGGGTTTTTTGGTCGCGCCAATAAAAATAATACGCATTTGCGGCGTCACTGGGAACCACATACTTAATCCTTTCTATCACTTGTAGTTACCGAGGTATCAGCCCTTCTACAAAAACGAAAATCGTAAAGAGTAAAATCGTTAATGTTGTCCCTCAAATGAATAAATATCTACAAAATTGTCTCGACAACGTTCACGGCTGTGTATGATCTACAAAAGTATTATCGTGTTTCTGTATTTGGTTTTATCAAAATTGTATGTATTACTTTCTTTTATTATATTCAAAATTAAAAAACGGCTTTTTGGAATGAAGTTATTTTCTTAAAATAATTTTGTCATATTCTGTATTCCTAGATCAAAAAATGGTTTTCATGTTATTGAAGAATAATTTCTTTGAATTCAGCCTATTAACTAACATTATTTATAGGTAGAGGCTCTACCTAGAGGCTCTACCTCTACTCTAGTGTAGGTGGTATTAATTTATCTGTATTCTCTTTGAAAAATTTTTGAAAATCTATATCACTTTTAATAATAATATAAATGGCAGTTTCTATGAATAAAGCCAATAAGTATTTGTTTGGCTTTTTTGTGTATCATTCATCATATTTAATTGTGGTAATGGAGTTACCAAAAATTGTTGACCGCTCACCTTATTTTTATTGAATCAGTACAAATTATTTCTTAGTTAAATAAGTAAAGTTGCTATTGTCTTCTTCTGGCCTATGTTGAGTGTTCAGATGAACACTAATAAAATATAAGAATTTATGAGTTAAGTTATGATATGGAAACCAACAAGGGTGCAGTGTTATCACTTGTAATCTGTGAGTGCAGACCACTTGAGTCTACCCAAAATATCACGCTGCACCAAGAGTGTTGACGCAGGGGTCAAAAGATAACCCTCCCGCGCAGGCAAGCAGACGCGGTCTCTGCGTAGACCATATATAAGATTAGAATAAGATTTTCATTGTAGTTTCCTAAGCAGGGACTTAGAAAAATAAAGAACATTTTAAATTCAGAACTCAATGAAAGCGGTTGTTTTTATTTTATATTCTAATGCTCCGATCATTTTGGTCCTTCGACAACTCTGCAGTTTTTCCCCAGCAGTGGTAAGAGACCCAGAGGAAAGGCCAGCTCCTTAAAAATCTGTATAAAATTCAGCTTTTAAATGTTGCTAAAAATAATTGACTCTTGTTTTCCCCCACCAGTGGTAAGAGACAGAGTATAAATTTAAAAGCAAAGAGACATAGAAAGAGTCTTTATTGTTCAAACAATTTTTAATAATTATTGACACATAATTTTTTGTAAAAAATACAAAAAAAAAACGCAAATTGTGTTCAAAAAATCCACAAGTTAAAAAAAATATTAAATAAAATATAAAAATAAAATATATATTTATATTTTTCGAGGCCTTAAAACCATCGAAAAAGTGATTTGTAAAATCTGGCGTATTCGAGGCCAAAACATCGAAAAAGTGACAACCCCACAAAAATTAAATAGTGACAACTAACAGTTTAAAAAATAATATATATTATATACATATATACATTCAAAATCAATAAATCTACGACAAAATATTCCCGCGTTATAAAAAGGCGATAGACTACAGCACCGGCGATACAGTCAACCGACCAACGAAAACAAAACAATAAGACCTCACCAAAAGGTCGAACTACAACAAAAACAAGCTACAGCACGAAAAACAACAACAAAAACGAAGCTATAGTCAACAACAACTACAGCAGAGGCGACCGGAAACAGTCTACAACAACTACAGAAAAATTAGGCTGCAGAAACAACTATAAACCATTTACAACAACGAACGAGAGCAGCAACGACTTCGAGCAATCAACAACAACCACAGCGGACAGCGCCGAAAATAAAAGCAGCAGCTAAGTCAAATTTAAAAAATAATTTTTTTCAAAATTGTATTTAGGTTAAAAATAATTAAGATGATGTCTGCTGAGACAATTGCTCTTATTAAAAGGCAGGTAGAAATAACCGAAGCCAGTAGACAGTTAGAAGAGCTTCCAAACCTAAGTTTAAATTATAATAATCAGTTCGAAGATTTAAAGTCCGAATGTTAAAAAAATCATTCGGCACTATTAAGAATTTGAGTAGTCGATCACGACTATTTCAAAAAAAAGTATTTTGAAGCCATGATGTCGTCGTTTGAAAAAAATAAAACTAAAATTCAAGAAGCCATAAAGTTAGTAGTAGCAGGTTAGAAAAAGCGATAGAGCAACTGAATATTTATTTAAAAGAAACCATAGAAGATATCAAAAGGATAAATGGAAATCCTTTAATATTAGAGTTCAGAAAATTGATTTTTATTGGAAAAAACTAATTAGTCTAAAAGAAGTCGAAATGACTGATGTCACTGATAGGAGGTATGACCGTTACAAATGACATGCAAAAGAAACTCGAAGAAGTTGTGCCAATTAAGGTAGATGGTATAAATCATAAAATTGATGAATTACCAACGATACCAAAAATTTAGGTACCCACATTTTTTGGAGATTCCAAGATTGGGACCTGTTTTATGAGTATTCAATGAACTCATTAATTTAAGGGAAGACTTGAGTACTTGAGCTTTAATTCCATCAGAAAGAATGGAAAAAGTTAAAAAAGCTTCCTTATGTTTTAAACGTTTAAAACACTCATTTAACAAGAAATTCTAGAGCGAAATTTCATGCTCAATTGGTAATAATAATCATCACATCTTGCTTCATATTAATTTCCAAAAAACGGAGAAATCAGTAAATACACTCAAGGCGTAGGATCAGCCCTTATTGGCTACGGCTAAAATACAAATTAAATCCTTGCAAGGAAAATTCGAAAATGTTAAAGCTTACTCACATTCTAAAGAATGGAGGGGTAAAAATAAACGGGCTACTTGGTCAAAACACCCATTTCGGGTGGATAGTTTCTGGATGCAGAAAATCCAAAGGAGAACAGACAATAGTTGCAACCACTATAGAGCTAAAAGATATGGATCGATATTGGGAAGTAGAGAAAGAAGACAAAAATAATATCGAATCTGATATATGTGAAAAAAAGTTTACAAGAACTACCAATAAAGACTCAGATGGACGATACGTTGTGTCGATTCCATTTAAAGATGATGTCACCTTAGGGGATTCAAAGAAACAAGCAATGGCTCGTTTTGTGAATCTAGAGAAAAAATTAAACAGAA